TCCTCCTGGAGAAGGAGCAGAGCCCCCGGCTCTCAGGACCGTCCTCCTGGAGAAGGAGCAGAGCCCCTGGCTCTCGGGGCCGTCCTCCAAGGCAGGGTTTGTTTTCAGGGCTGGTCTGGCCACCCAGCCCCGCTCCTCCAGGCCGACTCTGCTCTAGACAAGTGGCACGTGCCTGCCCCACCTGGCCTGTTCATTCACCTGCACGGGGTGGACTTGGCAGACGCTGAGTGTCCAGGCACCTGCCTGGCTGGTGGGGAGCTTGGTGAGGACAGACAGCTTGGATGCACACCTGCAAGACCCCAAATGCCCCATCCAGGTGGGTTCCAGGCCACCCCAGCAGCCAGGACTGCTGAGGTCTGGGCAGCGCGGTGAGGGGAGGAAGGGTCATGGAGAATGCCCCAGTCCTGCCCAGGAATCCCGCCACTCTGGGAGGGGGCCCACCCAGCCCAGCCCAGCCCAGCCCTTCTCCCCCGAGTCAGCCCTGGTTTTCCAAGGAGGAGGGGGAGCCAGGCACCTGCTGCCCATCCCATCCCATGTCCCTTATCCCCCATCCCCCGTCCTTCCAGTGGCTGCCTCGCCCTTGCAGCCCCGACAGAAACCGGCTGAGGCATCAGGGCACCTCCCCCTCCTGGTGCCCCTTTGTCAGTTTGGACAGGAGGGTGCTGCGTCAGCAGGACCCACGGCTTTGTCCCCGGCCCTTTGTACTTCGGCACAAAAGGGTCAGGAGCCCTGGGTGGAGGAGGGGCCTGGGAGGGAGCTGAGCCCAGAGTCTGGGGAGGGAAGGGCGCCTGCGGGGAGCCCGAGGGGCTGGGATGGGACCCTGTGACCTCCCTCACTCCTGAGCCGCTTTGGGTCACGCGTGCCTTCTGGCACCCGTGGGATGGACAGACCCCACTCTGATGAGAGGAAGGCTCCCTGGGCTGCCAGTGAGAGCACCCCTGCCTTCACCCGCCTCCCAGCCTGATTCTGCTGTTACCCAGGGGCTAGGGGATGTCCAGCCCCGCCCTGTGCCCGTCCCACCAGGTGGCCTGTGAGGAGTAGGCTGGCCGGACATTCTGTTTGGTGGTGGACACAGGCCTCTTGGGGAGGAACGATGGTGTGGGTGGGGGAAGTTTTACGGGTAAAGGGAAGGAGGGCGGGGGCAGCAGGTTAGGGGCAGAGGGCCCCTAGCTGCTCGCCTGGAGTGGCTGACCCTGCCGTGGGTTACTGTGGCCCTCAGGCCAGGACTCTCTCTGGTTTCAAAGACTAGAAGGTGTCTGGCGGTGGGCACCTCAGGCCGGAAGAAGAGTCCGGGGGCAGGAAAGGGGGTGGGGCGGGTAGGGGGAGGATGGAGCCTCATCGCCCGCCCACAGGAACATGGCTCCCATGACCTCTTGATCACTGGGGGCCCCACGTAGGTCTGAGCACACGGGTGAGGGACAGGAGATAGATTTGAGTGGTGGGGTGTCCACGGGTTCCATGGGCTGTAACGGAGTTGAGGGGTGGAGAAGCTTGGAGAGGGCTGCATCCCCACCCTCATGTTGAGGGCCTGAGGCCACACCCTCCCCTTGGGGCTCCCTGGGGATCTGTGGCCATCCTGGAGGGCTGGAGCTGGGAGCGGGTAGAGGAAGCCTGGGGTGGGGTTTGGGGGAACTCCAGGTAGCCCCACTGGAAATGCGGCAGAAGTGAGCTGAGGGTTGGGCTTCCAGAGGGAGTGGGGAGCTGCTGTGGAGGGGTCCGCCTGGCTGCCTGGGACCCCACCAGGCTGAGGGGGGCGATCTGGGTGGGCCAAGGGTACTGAGCAGGGCTGGAGGTGGGAAGGTTCCCGATGATAAGTCCCCACCCACCCTCTCCAGGTCCTCTCTCGCAGGCAGGGCTCAGCTGG